TTCGTTCATTTGAACGTTCAGAACTTTTGGCTCATTCTGAATTCGGTTTGCTGTTTGACGCTGCGCAAGCTGTTTGTGACCCACCTCGCAAGTAATATAAGTCACCTTCGCGATTGTCAATCATCTTGACGTTTCCGTTGTTGTCGCAGACTGTTGCTCGTTGGCTGGTGAATGTGACATAACAACTGTTGTCGACAACTTTGGCGACAGATATGAGATTTCGAGTTTGTCCCACACCTCTTTTGATGTCTCGCATCCGCGAATCTGTTTTAATTCAGATTGATAATATCAAATGTGATTTAGCTTTGCGATCTCGGACTACCCAAGCTTTTTGTGCAGCTACCGATGATGCATTGCCTTCGACGATTTCAGGCTTCACTTCCTTGTCCTTCGCGTATTCCCATGTGTCATTTTTGACTAATAGGGCTTCCAGTTGGATCCGCGAAGTATAATAATTGTCCTTTGAAAGTGTTTCGAGTCTTGTCGAATTCACTACATTTGTGGTTGCCATTGTCTGTGTGCGATTCCGTTTTTTTCTAATTAAGCAATATCACTCACGTCGCTAGATTTCACTTGCACCAGTGTTGGATCTTTCACGCGCGAATATCTGATTATTTCAAGGTTAAGAGCACCACTAAATTTGTATGTGTTATGTAATCGTTGTTGTTCACACTGGGAAAAAACTCGAAAAGTGAGGTTATGTCCGTTCGCGTCGATTCGCTTTGATTTCAGATATATTTTGACTCGAAAATTAAAGTTTTTATTTGCGATCGCGTTGCACAATAAGAATGTGAAAACCTTCATTGATATTGTCCGCGTTGTTATAAAAACCGATTAGAATTTTCTACACTGAATACCGACGCCAAGAGACGCTGCATGTGCACGCTTTTCACAAATCACCTTTATTTTCATTTTTCCGAGCCTGGGCCAATAAGCTGTTGAAGAACAAGGTTTCCGCAGGTCGAGAAATATAGAAAAAATATTTCAAAGGATATTGTTTATATATTTGCACTTGTAATTAAGAGATAAAAAATTTACAAAATTATAAATGTGTATCACGGGTTGAGTCTATATAAGATTCTGTTTCTAAAAAGATAGTGAACACTCAAAAGTATAAATGATGAAATAAAGAGGTCGACACTTGTGATACGAATAAGGGCGCGAATTAATTATTCCCAACAGGCTATATGCGTTTCTTCTCCTTATCCGCCTTCATGCAAGAGAGTCAAGTATATTACTCGCTTGAGAATGAGAGAGAAAGCACGAAAGTGAAGTGAACTGTTGATTAGTATAAACTACTCGCAAGGAACTGAGCACCACTGGAGCCGGAGAACCTCCTTCACCCAATACTATAATTTCACCAAATTGCAAATTTATCCAAAGACCACTTGCAAATCGCTTATTTTTTGACCAAGTCTTACTCATTCAACACTAATTAAGTTTAATAAATTAATAATTAAGTAATTAAAATATTTAATTATAATTTTTATATTTTACCATATTTCTCTTTTTCTAGTTTATTACACCGGCCCACAAAACAAAATTTCGATTGCCAGAACTGTTATGTGGTAGGTTCTCTACCTTAAGATGTATCTAAATAGCAAAACGTAGTCCGACCTAAAAGTTAGTTCGTGTTCTCTTTTTATAGGCATGGTGGGAGGGGGTCATTTTTGAGAAATTTATTTCTATGGGAATTTACTTAATTTCTATATCTAAAACTGAATTTTTGCTTCTTCTGAATGTTGATTGATATTAGTGACTTGATTCAGTGACTTTAATAACATGCAAATTGGATATATAACAAAAATCGCTCAGTTTTAAGTGAGTGTAGAATCAGCATTAATTTAAACGCACCCGTGCACGCCGCTTGAAAAGCTGGAGTTTAAGCTCGCTCGGTAGGGCGTAAAACTGACTAAATCGTGCATGTATGATGAAAAAATTATTTTCTTTTATTTGTTTACTTCAAGTAATAAGTCCGTGTTGCATGCCAAAAAGAATAAAATATTGTTGAAAAATAATTTAAATTAATATACGTTAAAAAATGGACGGTAACTGGGACAATCACGGTAGATTCCCGGGATGAAAAATGTAGGTATTACAAAAGTAAACTCAAGTCACATAGTATTCGAATAAGTATTCCTCAGTGCCAAAAGGTAGACTGTGGAAGACTTAGAGAAAAGTTACCAAAGTAAACTGATGGTATACTCAGATCTACCATATAGTGAGGAGAGTAAACCGTTCGAATACATCGGGTGATTATTAATGGTATACTCTAATATACGCGCTGAACGTACATCGTAGCCACGAGGTACTCAGAGAGCTAAGACTTCGAGTTCTAATTCTAATGTGGTCCCACCATGCCAACCTAAAGAAGAGAGGGGTAAGGTCGTATTCTGGAACGCCAACGGTATCCGCAACTGGCCGGACATCGGGGAAACTATCAACCCATCGGATATTATCTGTTTAAGTGAAACGTGGAACGAGACAGAGAGGATCCCCTTCTTGGAAAATTACGGCTATAATTACATTCAGGTTCCTGCTTCGAGAAGCTTCTCACATGGTAGGGCGAAAAGACGTCTCCTCATTGTTTATAATGCAAAATTTTATTTTTTAATTTTGACTTTTTAATAAATAATATATATGAAAGGTTCCCAAATTTCCCAGTTTTTATTGGCGGGGATTTCAACAGTAGAGTGGCGGATTTGAATCAGCCGGATTTGAATTTCTTCCAAAACATTACAGCGGTCTATTCAGAAAGAAAATCTTTAGATAATGTAGTAACTAACAGGGGTAAAAGTCTAACAAATAACTTTAAGTCTTGTGAGTTAACGCTGCTAAATGGCAGATGTTTAAGCGACAACCCCGCCAACTTTACCTATGTTAGTAGTTTGGGCAAAAGTGTAATTGATTTGGTTTGGTATAATTGGGCTTCGGGTCTCCTAACTAGCCACCTCATCAGACCATTTTCCGGTTGCATTAAGCTTGATGGGTGCTAAAAAGGAAAGAGTTGCCTGCCCATCCACCATCAGGCTTAAATTTTGCAATGAAAAAGCTCGCATGTTTTCTAGTGTAATGTCAGAAAGAAAGGAGGTGGCTAATATTGACCTGGACGTTGATGGACAGAATGAGACTCTCACTTTTGTAATCACTGAGATAGCACTGATTTTGGGAATGTGCACTCAGGTTAATACTAATAAAATTGTCAGTCGAAAACCATGGTTTGACGCAGAGTGCAAATTGGCAAAAAAAAGAGTAATAGCAGCGTTAAAGCTCTCCAGGGCTGCAGGATTCTCCAACACCAATACAGTCATTAATTAATTACCAAGAAAAGATGTCATATTTAAAATTGGTGAAATCTAAAAAACTTAATTTTGAAAAAATTCGATCTGAAATACTAAACAATTGCAGAAACTCGGCGCAGTTCTGGAGGTCGATTAATGCTTTTAAATCGCGCACAAGCCAACACTCGAATGTGGATTTGGAATCGTGGCATAACTATCTGTTGAGATCTTTCCCCCCTATTGGCGGAAATATTGTATTGGAACCGCCTCTTGTACCACGATTGATCCCTGAGCTCGACAATACTATTACGACAGACGAAATATGGTTTGCACTGTCCAAATGTAAAGATGGAAAGGCTCCTGGCCCGGACGAAATTAATTATAACTTCCTTAAGAATTTACCGCAAAATTGGCTTCTTTATATGAATTTGTTTTTTAATATGATTTTGACAACTGAAAAAGTCCCATAGGGTTGGGGTGAATCCATAACATCTATTTTTTTCAAGAAAGGTGACTCCACGATACCTGACAACTACAGACCAATTACGCTAATTAATTGCTTGGCAAAGGTTTTTACTTTGATTTTATGTACTCGACTGATGGCATGGGCAGAATCGCGGGGAATGATCCCGGAGTCACAGGCGGGGTTTAGAAAGGGTAGATCCTGCTTGGATAATTTATTTTGTTTATTATCAATCCTTCAGATCCACCTAAGGACTCCGGGATCAGTAGTTTTTGCAGCATTTATAGACTTTAAGGGAGCCTTTCCATCGGTCGTCCATGATCTGCTGTGGAGTAAACTATATAAAATGGGACTTAGTACAAAATTTATCAACATTGTTAGGGACTTATATAAAAAATCGTCTACCAGCATTAGAGTAGGCCTGGATTACACTGAAAGCTTTAATGTGACTCGTGGTTTACTGCAGGGAGAAGTCCTTAGTCCATATTTGTTCCTCCTATTTATCGCGGATATGGAAAGTTTTTTTATAGATAGGGGTTGCAGGGGCATTGCTATCGACAGTTCTTTGGAAATAAATATGCAAGGGTTCGCGGATGATTATGCTTTGCTGGCGGACTCCCCAAGCGAGTTAAATAAAAAATTAAATGCATTATATGAATACTGTGATTTGAATAAACTCATTGTGAATACGGACAAAACTAAGATCGTAATATTTTCTAAATCAGGGAATTCTAAAGCAAAAAAACTTAAATCATTTAAATTTGGAGAGAGTTATATCGAGGTAGTAAGAGAGTACGAGTATCTGGGCGTTCCTTTTCACAATTCCTGCTCTTTCGCTTCGGCAGCGAAAAAATTTATTAGCTCTGCGAATACCGCAGTGGGATCGACGTGGAAAATGATTTTTGCGTCTAAAATGAACTCTTGGGCTTCGTGCGGGAGACTGTTTCGAAGCCTGGCGGTTAGTGTTCTCCTCTATGCTTGCCAGACATGGTACTTAAATTTCCTCGACAGTATTGAGAGGGTACAACTAACTTTTATTAAAAGATTATTAAACTTGCAAAATAAGAGTTTTTTTATGATAAAAACATTTACTGATAGAAATTTTAATTCCTAATCTATATTTAATTTATCAAAATTTTATATATTTTATTACTTATATTACAAATTGTTTGGTTTGATAGAGGAATTCACTTAAATAAATCGCGTTTGTTAGAATTTTACTAATAGCACATAGTTTTTAGGCAGAGGAACAAAATTATGTTGAGAGACTTCATATTATTCACCAAACTGCCAACGACAACACAGAAGGAAGAGAACTTGAAGATACCCCCAACCTCAACACGGAAGGAAGAGAACTTGAAGATACCCCCAACCACAACACAGAAGGAAGAGAACTTGAAGATACCTCCAACCACCCAACGGAGAAAATGGACTGTGAAGAGACCCCTCACCAGCCGAAGAAAATAAGAGTTCGCCCCAATAAGAAGACTCCGTTTCGAGCGCGTGAAATACAATCACCTAGAGAGCGCAAATTATTTCATGAAGTATTGCGACTAAGGAAACATAATCAGGTTCTACAAAAGAAGCAGGCCCGATGGAAGAAGAGAAGAAATCTTGAGAAGCAATGTAAACCGAAGCAGACGATCAGAATGCAGGAGGGTTTGAAAAAAATGAATCGAGTTCAAGAAGAGTTTTTAAACATGATGCATGCAAATAATAGTATAAAGTCAAAGGGCAGAAGATACAGTTATTTTGATAAAATATTGTCTCTATCTATTTACAAACAGTCTCCCAAGTGTTATCGTTACTTGCAAAGTTTTCTTTCTCTACCTTCAAAGAGTACACTTTCGTCCATTTTGACTAAAATGCATATTGATACCGGTATTACCGATGAAACAAAACAACGTTTGTTGGAAGCTGCCAAATTGTGTACAAATGATCAAGAGAAAGTCGGAATTCTCATGTGGGATGAAGTTTCTCTTGGTTTAGGAGTACATTATGACAGCAGCACTAACAAAGTTGTTGGATTTGAAGATTGGGGGACTGTTAGAACAGAACAGTATTCTGATCATGCTCTTGTCTTTATGCTTAGATTAGTTAAAAGTGGTGCCAAAATACCAATCTCTTTTAATTTTTGCAGCTCCATGACGAACAAAATGCGCCCTTATCCAGGAAGATGTACTGGAAGAATGCCACATGACCAAAGAATTTTCAACTACAAGTTAAGTCGTGCGAGGCGAACAATTGAAAATACATTTGGCATTATGTGCTCCCAGTGGAGAATTTTTAGAGTTCCCATCCATGCAACCGAGGAACATATACACCTGATCATCCTTGCGGCTGTCGTCCTTCATAATTACCTTCAAAAAGAAGAAGAGGACTATCCTGAAGACGCTAGACATTATTGTCCCACTAACTTCGTTGATAACTTTGAGAACGGAGAAGAAATTGAAGGAGAATGGAGACGCGATTTTCAAATGAATGCCTTCGCTCCTCTTCCTTCCGTTCACGTGCAGAGGATTACTGCCCTAAGAATTCAAAATTATCTAAAGGATTACTTTTCAAATGAAGGGAGTGTTCCGTGGCACGACGACATGGTGAACGCAGGGGCCTTCTAATTCACCGTAGTGGCCACTGAAACTGAAAAAAAATTCCCGGCTATTTCCCGGTTTTCCAGGTCAAAATTATTTTTTTCCCGGTTACCTTTTAATAACTTTCACTTGTAATTATATGTAATAAATTTATTTATTTTATCAATAAATTGTATTGTTTTTAGTTATTTATTTATTTTCATTTATATGTAATACATAGGTAGACAAAAAATTTGTAAATTTTGCGAAACATAAAAACTTCATTTAATTTTTATAAAACTAAATAAGGCATTCTATGTAAAATTTGCATTCACTTTTATTTTTGGATTGGAGCAATTTCTTTTGAAATCTGTCTGAAAAATAAGGAAATAATTTGTTGGAGTTATGGTTTGAAATAAAACACTCTTTGGTTTACTTTATACTCTTTAGTCTCTTAATCTCTTTATTGTATGGCACTCTAAGTTTAAACCTCTTTAGCTACTCTTTATGATATAATTAGTATAATATATCAGCGAATAACAGCGAGCAATATCACGACGACCGTGATGTGTATTGCGTCAGCATATATATATATTGTATCGATCGTTAACACGATCGATACTTGATCTTGCTTATATCGATCGATCTTTATGTCGAGAGTATCGACAAAGTATTTAAACTTCACACTCCCTCCCTTTGTCGATTTGAAAAAGTATATTTTTCTTAGTATAAAAAATAATATTAATATCTGAGCAACAAACTTATAACATATAATTTGTCTCACTTTGGTTGTACATTACAATACTGAATTGATAATATTGCACTGCAATAAACCAACAAACGCATATCACAAGATTTGCACTACTCGTTACATTAATACTTTTAAACAGTTAAAATTAAAATCAAAATTAAATCTAAATCTTTGTTTGTAGCTTTATTACATCTTAATTGGTTACTTCTTATTTAATCTTAGGCATCCTCTAGATCAGTGTGACTTTTTGTTTTTGCTTATTGTTTGCGTTTACCTGTGAACAAAGAAAATTGTTTTAGATTAATTTCAACTTAATCAAGTTTTTATTAGTAACATGTATTTGATCTTATTTCTCTAACTTTAATTCCTCTAATTTTTAATTCTCTAATTCTCTAACATCTTATCTCTTAAATATTTATGCGCTTCTAAGGGTAATGGTTTTGTCATGATATCTGCGATATTTTCTTTTGTTGCCACCCATTTTATTCTAACTTTTCCCTCTTCTACACATTGTTTGACAAAATCTCCATGAGTATTTGCCATGTGTTTTCTGTTTCCTTTCTTTTCTCTAAATTCAAGACTCTTGTTAATTTCCTCTAAATCATCATCAAACATTTTTAGTTTGTGACTTCCATCTTTTTGTGTACAATCACCTGCTGACTTGTAATCACACCAGATTGTTACCGGAAAAAGGGTTTTTCCGATAATAAATCTAGTTGATTTGTCAAGCGAAATTAACTCTTGACATGCATCACTCATGGCAAGATATTCCGCCTGACATGTCGATAATGTCACATATGATTGTTTGTGACTTCTTCATGCTATTACATCTCCAAACAATTTTATTACATAACCTCCTGTAGAGGTAGAATCATTACAGTCTCTAAAACTTGCATCAGTCAATGCTTCTAATTCTTCAGTTTTACCTCTAAATTGTATTCCCATATTTGTGGTTCCTCTTAAATATCGGAAGATTCTTTTAACATCTATCCAGTCCTCTTCACTCGGATCTACCTGTTTTCTTGCTAAATAGTTTACTGCAAAGGTTATGTCCGGACGTGTAGCATTTGATAAATACATCAAACTTCCAATAGCTTCTCTATACGGTACTCTTTGAATTTCCTGATTTTGATTTTCACTCTTATTTTCATTTTCCTCTAACTTCCTCTTTTTATTTCGATTGTTAACCTGTCTAGTAATCATTGGAGTACTTTGTGGTTTACAATCTTTCATGTTGAATTTCTCTAAGATATTTTTCACATAATTTGATTGGTGAATAAGTATTGTATTTTCCTCTTTATTTCTCTCTATTGTTATTCCTAGAAAATTTTTCGGTTCTCCAAGATCTGTTAATTCAAATGCTTCGCTGAGGCATCTCTCAATTTTCTCTAATAACTCTTTGTCATTGCTAGCTATAAGCATATCATCTACGTAGATCAGAACCACTGCTAATTTACCATTCTTCCTGTAAGTAAATAAACAGGGCTCATGTAGATCGTTCTCTAATCCAAGCTTTCTCATCTCTTCAGTGAATCTCTTATTCCATTTTTTAGGACTGATTTTCAGGCCGTATAGTGATCTCTTTAATTTGCAGACTTTTGTTTCTCTAATCTTCTTATCGAATGGTAGTCCTTCTGGAATTTCCATATATATTTCTTCTTCTAAAATACCATTTAAAAATGCTGTTTTTACATCTAACTGACATGCAAACAAATTGTGTTTGTTGATTATTGATAGTAACGATCTCACAACCGGTAGTCTTGAAACAGGTGCATATGTTTCTTTCAGATCATAAATATTTTTATCTTTGAAACCTCTAATGACCAATCGTGCTTTGAACCGTGTTGATCCATCAGCTTCTAGTTTCTTCTTAAAAATCGATTTGGAATCAATTATGTTAGCTTTCTTATCATCTAACATTCTTTTTGGTCGATCTACTAATTCCCACACTTCATTGGAATTCAAGGAGTCAATTTCTTCTTTTACTGCTTTCTTCCATTTTTCTTTTTCTTTAGTTTCCATTGCTTCTTTAAAATTTACTGGATCTCTATTTAGTGTTGCCAAAAGACAATGTCTTATCTCTGCCTCTTTGTTTTCTCTTTCTTCTCTATTCAAAAATTCGAATTTTTTCTTTTTGATAACTGAAGGAATATCAGCATTATTATTGGTGTTTGTAACTTCTGCTGATTTTCCTATACAAGCTGTTTTGGCTTCTTCTTTTGAGTCCTCTATTTTTCTTTTACTCTTACTTCTTGTTGAATAACGATTGTTATCATTTGTTGGTTTCTCTAAAGTTTTACTCTTTTCCTCTAATGTTTTTCTTGGTCTTCCTCTTTTCTTGGGTTCAGACTTTGATTCTTCTTTCTCTTGATTGTCCTCTTTTGTTGTTGAAGAATCCCAGTTGATTTCTCTAATTGAGTCGTCTAATTCGATGTTGATTTCTCTAATTTGATCCCTCTTATAAACATCTTTATATACAAGTTTTTCATTAAATCTAACATGCCGAGATTCAATAAATTTTCCTGTGCTTGGATGCCACATTAAATAGGCAGTACTCTTATATCCTACTAACACACACTTTATGGCTCTTTGACCGAACTTAGAGTCCGGTTTAGGTACTTTGACATACGCAATGCAACCAAATCTCTTAATTCGATCAAAGTGGCAGTTTGGATTTGGTGTGATTTTCTCTAAAGGAATTTTAAACTCTATACTTTTGTGGGGAGTTCTATTGTATGCATGCACGGCAGCATCAACAGCAAGTTCCCACATACTTTTAGGTAAACCTGAATCAAGCATGTATGCTCTAACTTTACCTTGAATGGTTTTATTAAATCTTTCGGCTACTCCATTATGTTCTGGGGTATATGGTGGTGAAGGTTGAATTTCTATTTTCTCTTTCTTGATAACATCTAAAAAATTACCCCCCATAAATTCTGTGCCTTGATCAGATTTAATATAACATACCTTTTCATTTTTACCTATTAGGTTTCGTGCAGATATTAGATAATTTTCAAAAGCAATTCCCGTTTCATCTTTTGATTTCAGGGAATATGTTTTAGCAAATCTAGAATAATCATCGACAAAAACCACGATAAACTTTTTCAAACTTGGATAAGACAAGGGTTTAATGGGTCCCATAGTGTCTGTATGGATAAATTGCAGAGGTCTATCAGCTCTTTTTCTTCTCTCTTTAAAGGGCAATTTTTCCATCTTTGACATAATGCAAATTTCACAATCCAGAATTGAATCGTCAAATTGTACATTCCCTAAAACTTTTTGAACTTTTTGTAATTTTTTAAGATAATTTAACGATGCATGACCTAGCCTAATATGCCACATCATTGCCTCATCATATCTTTCAAAATTACTATGTTTTATTTCTAATGGGCTTGAAATAAACATATCTTCTAAATTGTTTAATGACTCTAAATCATCTATCTTTATTGTTTCTCTAGAAATGAAAGTTGTATCGCTGTCTCTAAATAATCTATCATCTAACTCTAACTCTTTATTTTTGTTATGTTTTGGAAGCTTCTTTTCATTCTCCCTCCCAATCGCAGAACCGACGTTGTTTAACTCTTTGTCTCCCTCCGAATTTGAGGACTCTATGTTCACAATGTTTGTTTGCGATTGTTCAGGAAGCTGAAAATGATTTATCATTCTTGCCAAACATGAAAATCTCTCATATTCTAAATTTTGATTGTTTTTTAATTCATTCTTTCTTACATTAAAACGAACTACCCAATTGGGTTTTTCGTATGTACCCTCTAGAATTATTTTTTCTGCGTCTCTGTCAAAAACTTTAAGAGACTTGTCATCTAAATAAATGCAGTATCCTGCAATTACATCTGTTAATTTAAATATACATATCTCTATTATTTATATCTGTTTGTAGCAAAAGATCTCCCTTACCATCTATAGTTATATCTGCAAATTCATTTTTATTAGCACTCTTAATTACCTCTTTTTCACATTTTTCAAAATTACTTAAAATTAAGCTTTTATTCACAATGTGATCAGTGGCTCCGGAATCAGCAATAAAGTCAATCAATCTTTTTGGCTCTATAGAACATTGTACAAATCGAGTCTTACCTGCTTTGTTTCCCTGCTCTTTATTTTTCTCCTGTTGGTACTTCTGATTTTTATTTCCAGATGTTGACTGTCCGTCCGGTTTACCTTTCTCTTTATTAAACTTCTTGAAGTCTTTACTCTTACCCTTTTTATTAAAGCTCTCATTTTTGTTTTTCGCTTTAGCATCTGATTCTGGTGAATTTTTGTTTTTGTTGAAATTTTGGTGTTTGAATTTCTTACCTTTGTTGGCATTACGGCATTCATCACCTTTATGATTTCTTATAGCCTGGCAGT